ACAAAATCCATCGCCTCCGGATCCTCCACAGCTCGCTGAAGGTACGAAGACACAAAAAAAATATCTTTCACATATTTGACAAATACTTACAAGTACCTCAACTTTCCCGCAGAACGTCCCTCTTCAAGACACCAACCGCTCCATGGGATTTTTAGGGTAGCGCCCCCGTCAGGTGATCGGAGTGTTTGAACGCCACCTCCTCCCTGCCTGTGCCTCACGCAGCTGACATCGTCCTGCTGGAGATAAATGGCAAAAAGAAAACAGCTTTCCTTCGCTTGGCTTCGTCTCTTCTCGCCTTCACGCGCACTCACTGCGCACACGCACGTCCTCGATGCCCCGCCCTGTCCGACCTCACTGCATTTTAAATGAGGGCTGTCACATGTAAAATGGTTAAAGAGACGTTGGGGTTTGATGCAGTACCTTTCATCTCAGATACTACAACGTTTGTGGCCCATTACTGGCCCATAGTGTCCATTCATATGGCCCACATGGGGTGTCAGTCCTGGTGGTCTACTCATGTTTGTCAGATGTACCGGTCACAGCGTTGCACATGTCCAAAGGTTTTATAAAAATCTTTTCAAAGTGGTATTCAGACTTTACTAGCATTCACCACCATTGTACTGCAGTAATCTCCTGTACTTCTGAGTAGTAGTCGTGACGTGTTCATCTTCTGTGATGCTGCTCTGGCTCTGTGTTTTTCTCCTTTACCCGTTCCTTTGCAAGAGATTAAGAGTTTTTGGTGGGAAACATTTAAAACTGGTACAAAAAACCAACAGTAGGTGGCAGTGATGCAACTGAATGTAGGCCTTCTGTCCATAACACCCAAAAAGAAGATTAGATTAGATTAGATTAGATTAGATTAGATTAGATTAGATTAGATTACTAGGTTAAATAATAATGTTGTGCAATTGCGTTAACTTCGGGGAACAGGGCATTACAAATGTGCTTACAGCACACCCTGCAGGGAAGAGGGGGAGCTGAAAGCTCTGTGTTTACCAGCATTTACATCCATAAATCACTGCACACACTACCTTTGAGGTCATTGGAGCCCACATCTGATGACTACTGTCCATGTGGACCACTCACTCTGTCTGGGCCAGGTGAAAAGCAGCAGTGGACACCACGGGGTCGGGCCACATCCTCAGATCCCCACGGGTTGTTTTTTTTGACTGACAAATAAGCACTTAGTCTCCTTTTTCAAGACTTTTCCCAGAGTTCCGTCCGCTCTCGTGCATGGCCTCCTTTCCGTCAAATCTGCCGAGTCGTCTTGGACGCGTGGCGGCAGCCGTGTACAGACATCCTGTGGGATTCAGACCACATATTTTTTGGCTTTGTGATGCATGTGTGTGCGCTAAGTGGGTGTGGTCCACGGGTATGCAGTATATATTTAATAAATCATTACAGTGACAGTGTGTACACAGTGTGGGGTATGTACCATATCAATAATAATACAAGTGCTGTGCCTCAGTGATCGTGAATGTACATTGTACTTTTTTCCCCAAAATGCAGCGAAGGATAATAAGGAGGGAAAGTCTTTTCCTCGGAGCCGGGGGCACATGACCAGGACGCTTGGCAATAATGAAGTAGATCTTGTAAATTACAAAGGAATAATCAGAGTTCATGTCTATTTTTGTATGCATGCTGTCTGACTGTTTGTAACAGTTTTGTATTTTCAAAGTGGTCTGGATCGTAGTGGAGTCCGAGGACTGGTTCCAACAATTTGCTGCAGAAACGTTTACCTTAAAGTGTTAAAGAGAGAGAGAGAGAGAGAGCTGTATTTAATAAGTGTTAAGTGTTACCAGCATGCTTTATTTGACAAAAACACACATGACAACATGCCATTTCAATTCAAATGAACTGACATTTCTGGAGATTGCTCTATCGTAGCTGTGTGGTCCCTTTATAATAAAACGAACATACGACATGGGGGGAAAAAGTGGAGTCTTTATTTAATAATAATTATTTTGATACAAGGTTCACCTGAAAGTACAACCACATCAAACAGGTGACTTTTATTTTGAATTCTGACAAAAATGTGTTTGTTTAGGCCTTAAATACAGTTTCTTACTTTTATCCAATATTGATAATAAACTGTGTTTATGTTTAGTTTTATCCTCCAAGGATAAGTGAGAAAGGTCCGATGCTTCAGTGTCATTATGGTTTTTTTTTTAATTTTTACTAATTGTCTCCACAGGGACATGGACACTGACGCTTCACAGGCGGATCAATTCACCTGCTGCTGAGCTGAACTACACACAGATACAGACAGAGAATCACACCTGAGAGAAGACCTGTGAAAAAATACTTTATCTTCTTTACGTTTAATAACAAATAGGAGATAAAAAAATACGTAAAATAAAGTAAAATTAAATAAATACAGTAATTCATTATATCCTAATAAATACCCCAATTTAAATGAACCGTCTCAACCATGTAACCATGTCTGTAATTTACCCAAAATATATTATTTCATAAAGTTCATAAACGTATTTAATTTGACAGTATTAGCTTAGTTAGACGTTTGTTTTAGGGCCGAAAGTGTCGTATTGAAACGCATTATTTCCGGGGACGTTTCAGCGGAACACCGACTTCCGCTCTCTCAGAAACACATCGACGGGAAACCGGGTAGTTTGAGTCCTCGTTACTCTCCACATGTACCTACTGTGAATTTAAGATTAATGACAAATATCGACTTCATGTAGTGGTGATATATTAGTCTGTTTTTATAAATGGTCGGTGTGCTTTTCAAGCTTCTGTTCGCTTGTAAACAGACTGAAGCCGATACGCGTTTTGCCGTGCAGGCGCCATTTTGTGTCTTACCCAGGCCGCGCAGGAGCGAGTTTGTCTGTGTATTGTAAAGTATTCGAGAACATTTATTCGTTTTATGTTTTGTAAAAGGTCTTAACAGTAAAGTGGAACATTTCATAGTTTAAATGTATCAAGTAAATATTGTTGTATAATCTGAAAGTTCAACTGTGTAAATCATCAGCATTAATTTTATTTTTATTATAGTTCTTCTTCAGTATGAAATATGAAAATTATAAAAAAGAAAATAATTAAAAATACCAACAAATCCGTTTTTCTAGTATTTTGATTTTTATTAAAAAAGATTTTTTAGACATTCAATGTTTTAAACTACACCATTATATAAAATTACCACCAAAATAGGCAGAACTACAACAATAATAAAAACACAGATACTCCAATGTGATAGGAAAAACACCCAGTACAGTCCAGGAGAGTCAGAGTTGAAGGCGGGTAATGAGGTACAAAACATTCCTATTTAATATTGTGATTTGAAATTTTATATTTGCAGTAAAACACATGGGGCAGGTAGTATATTTTATAGTAATATCTGACAATAAAAATCTGAAAAAAGTATGAGAGACGATGCTAGATAGTTGTGCAGAAATGGAGACAGAAAAGCATCATGAACAGAAACAGCTGTGTTAAATCAACCTGTTACTGTCTGTGGTTACTACTGAACACAGACACAGTCATTATCATCAACATCAGCTGGACAGCTGTCAGTACACACTACTACACTTAAGGACTTCATTAACAGTTTTATTAAAAATATCTTTATTTCAAATTCTGAGGGGGAGGCTAAAAATAACCGAGGGTCACTGCGGGGCACGAACAGTTTTATACTAAAGCTTTGGCTATCAGTGTGGTCAGGACTTTGTATCTGATGAACAGTTTGAGGATGTGGTCTCTGACCAGCTTAGTGCCCAGTCCGTACAGCACCGGGTTAACGATGGGGGGAGTAACGAGAAAGTACAGGGACAGGAAAATGCGTGCTTCTATGGGGACGTGTGTTGTGTTGAACCGGGTTTGGAGAATCTCAAAGGTGGAACCGATGGTGTAGTTCAACAGGGACAGCAGGTGTGGCAGGCAGGTTTTCAGGGCATTGCGTTGAGACTCCCGCGACAGTTTCCTGCACACTTTTAAAATCCTAACATAAGAGAAAACAATCATGACCGGCTGAGGCACCACCAGGATCAGCAGCAGCAGCAGGCCCACGTTACTAATGTATGAGAAGGACGAACAGGAGTTTTTCACCAGCTCCATGTTCACACAGTACAACTTGTGCAGCTCATTTCCACAGATGCTGATCTGCACAGTCAGTGAGAAGAAGCTCCCGAAGACTAACATGGGGTAAACGGCTGCTAACGCGCTGATCATGGCCGCCCTGGAGTTGGACATGAGGCCGTGGTAATGCAGAGGTTTACAGATGGCGATGTACCTGTCGTAGCCCATCACAGCTAATATGCACAACTCCGCGGCTGCGTACGTGTGCAGGAAGAACACCTGCATCATGCACCACCTGACGGTCATTTCATAGGTCTGGGACAGGAGCAGAGCCATGATGGTGGGCAGCAGGGCGGTGCTGCCGTACAGCTCATTCAGAGACAGAGCGCAGGAGAAGACGTTCATGGGCTGATGCAGCTTTTTGTTCTGGTGTATGACTGTAATGAGCAGAACATTCAGGAAAACAGTAATGACATACAGCAGGAGGAACACACAGAACATCCAGTGTTTGTAGTTCTCCATAGCCGTGTACGCGGTCATTATGAACGTGAGAGCTGTGGTGTTGTCCATCTGTGGACTGGACTCTGAGAAGAAGAAGAAGAAAAATGTAAATATATTATATATACTTTATAAACTGCAGTAATGGGTTAAAACTGGGAGGCAAAAGTCAGAAAATAGTTTCATGGAACCAAGAAGATCACTGGATCAAAGCCCAGACACATCTGTAGATCTCAGTGGAGGCTACAGTTACCTGTCTTCTCCTCCTCCTCCTCCTCCTCCTCCTCCTGGACTGGAGTGAGCTCCTCCACAGGAGCTGGTCTTTTAACTCACACTGAAGCTGGGCTGATGTTTGATGATGTCATCGGCAGAAGTTTGTTGTTTCAGTGTTGTTACTGAGTCCACTCTGGACAACAATCAGAACTTCATGTCTGCAGGGATTGACCCCAGCGCCCCCTGCCCCAGAAGGGTTGATTGCATCCCTTTAATCCATGGAAACATGGAAAAAGTTTTTTTCTTTTTAGTGCTCTGACTTCTTTTTCATACAACATTTTAAATTCTAAACATATTTTAAACAGATCAGTGATTTTATTTTAAGAACTTTTACATGTTGGAGACAGATCTGTGAGCATTTTTGTGAGCAAATCCAGACCTGAACTGTGAGATAAAGTGACATCCTGTCATTAACGTCAGATCAGTCGTCTGTCGTGGGAGAAATGTCACATGACTCTTACATTTTCAGACTTGGAGGAAAGATAAATGAATCTTCAAAAATTAGATTTTTCGACGTCAGCAGTTGAACGTTCTCTGTAGTATTTATGAAATTATGACAAATAAGTGAAAACAAAGGTTCGAAGAACATGTGAGCCTCGTTCTCCTCCTGTGTTACAGCTGCTTATATTCAGTAAATTTAATGAAAAGATTGAAAAAAGAAAGAAAAACCCAAACTGAATCGACATCTCAGTATCTACAGCAGGGGTGTCAAATATATGGCCTGCTGGCCAAAACAGGCCCGCCAAGGGGTTAAATCTAGCCCGCACAGTGAATTTTGAAAGTGAAAAAAATGCCCAAACGTGGCAGGCAATAGGATAGAATACATAACACCAGGCAGGTCAGATCTTTACTCTGTTTAATTTAGACCTCACTTCCTGTGTGTTTTTAAGGATTTGTTGGTTTTTGTTTTTATTTAAAAAAACACATCCTTTCCAAATCATTAAAATTGATGTTTATGTTTCATATGTGGCTGAATGTCAATAAAAAAAGTAAATAAAAAAACCTGTTTTGTTAAATTATAGTTCATCAAATCTGAAAATTTGCTGATCTTCTCGTTGGACTTACTGCTGTTTAAAGATAATTATGTTTTGATTGTTCTGGTCCGGCCCACGTGACATCTGATCCGGGCCGTATGTGGACTCTGAACCTAAATGAGTTTGACACCCGTGATCGACAGCCGTCTTTTTTCACCGGTCCTGTCGGTCTGTTCCACTGGGAACCACGGTTTGACTCTCCTTCCCCTGTACTTTGTAAATGTTCAGCAGCTCGTAAATAAAACAGAAGAACAGAAGAACAGAAGGTTGTTGTTGTCGTTGTTGTTGTTGTCGTTGTTGCTGCTGCTGTAATTAGGCTCCAGTGTCCTGACGCCGCCAGGCCTCACTGGACATCACCTGGAGTAATGACGGTAATGACCTCCCTTTGGAGGAGAGCCAGGCAACGCTGATGAAACCGTGTCCGTGGAGTCGTGACCTTTTCAGCTCATGCAACAAACGGCAACAGTTTCTGAGGCCACAGAGTGTGTGTGTGTGTGTGTGTGGGGGGGGGGAGCAGGACTCCTGTTGTTTTATAGTAACAGTAAATTAAAGACAACATTTTCTCCCCACTTTGTTTCCTTTAACCCGACTCAAGCCCATGTTGACCTCTTGACCCTGCTGGCAGAGACATGGCGGTACAGTACCTGATGTAACCCCCCCCACCACCCCACCCCCCACCACCCACCCCCACACCCGAACTTAGGGCAGAATTCTAAAATGAAGGTGGAGTTTACAGGTAGACTTATGGAAATCTTTCAAACCTGGGATTTGAACCGACAACCGCCGGCCTTTCCTGCTGTTCGTTCGTTTTAAAGCTGTGAACGGTCACAGAAGAGGTGAAAAAAGAAAGAGTGGAGGCAGGATGGAAGGAATGGAGACAAATTGATTCGTTGATAAGTTAATAGGTGATCAGTGGCGCCCCCTACAGGGAGTAGTTAGAACTAGTAAAAATTCTGTGTTGAAAAAATATTTTTTCTCTGACTTTAAAATACTTCAGTCACTGGACTGAACTTCAGCTGATGTTCTGAGCGTCTCCATGATGTTGTCAGGCCGTGGTGGCGTCGCTCGGCTCAGACGGCAGCGAGGGGTTAAGGAGGTTCATGTGGTTTAAATTGAACAGATTTGTGGGAATGTTGAACCCATGACAGCAGTCAGTGGACGCCGTGTTCTTCTCTGGAAATGTGATTATGGAAACCATGTTCTCAGCTGGTCCGGAGACCAGGTGACCCATGTGAGGTTCTTCATTACTCTCTCTCCTCCCCTCTGAGCCAATATACTGAGAGCTGGACGACGTCCTCATTTCAGAGCAGGACTTTAAGCAGCGAAAATGTCGTCCTATCGTCTGGCTGCGTTGATGCTCTTCACCGTTCTACTCCTCGGTGAGTTCAATACTTCTGCTCTTCAATGTATTTGAGCTAATTATAAAAAACGTTAGCCTACGATAAAAATATAATTATCTTTAGACAAATCGACTTAGAGCAGTACGCTGTTGTACTGTGATGTAGTGAAAACGTGCTGTGAAATACAACAGCAACAGAAAATTATCTAATTTGATTTCATTGGTCTGAATACTTTTATTCACGGTTGTGCGATAAAAACGACAAGTTAGAGCAATTAAATACTCTTCCAGTAGGTGGCAGCACACTGCTCTAAAACAAAAAAGCAAGATTCTCAGAGCTTTGAAAGAATTCTTTGTGCGTGTCTTTCTTTAATTCCTGTGAGAGCATCAGTCTTATGTTCAACTAAACAGGCCCAGGTTTCACACCGGGTGTGAAACGTGTAAGAAAATCCAAACTGAAAGATCGTTATATTTGATGACTTATATTTACTTTTTGGGATATTTTTTGTGTGTGGTGGTGCATCATGGGATTTTTCTAATACTCATGTGTTAAGTGTTCTCCAAAAACCTTCAGCTCAGGTTTGTTTGTCTTCCATTTTCATAGAAGTTTAATGACAAAGCTAAACCAGTTGGTGTCATCAGCAAACAAATTATTAAAAAGTTGATTTTAAAATGTGTTTGTCTTCCCTCTGTTCCAACATTTTCTGGACTTTCTTTGTGATCAGTCGTTCAGATGAACTATTGATGCTGCGTTAACCTCTGGTGCTGTGTTCCATTCCAGTTGCAGAGAGCCAGGCCGCGTCCTTCCCCTGGTCCTGCCCCAGTCTGAGTGGCGTGTGCAGGAAGGTTTGCCTCCCGACAGAACTGTTCTTCGGACCTCTGGGCTGCGGGAAAGGATTCCTGTGAGTCTCCGTGACGGCGTGCTGTGACGACGGTGACTTTTTATGGCTCTAATCTTTTACTCTGTTCTTCCAGGTGTTGTGTGTCTCATTTTCTATGACACTTCTTCAGATGTCGGGACAGAAAGACACTTCCTGTCCTCCATGGAAGACGTGACCAACAGAAGACGATGTTGACAGAAACTGCCTGTGTTTATTTAACCCTGTGGACATTAACGTGAAGTGGAATAAAATGTTCTAATCATCATTTCTGGTTTCTCTGTTTGTTGACTTTTTTGTTTATGTCAGAAAATAATTAGAATGATGACTAATGACCTGCCGAAGGTTTTCTCTAGATAATAACATCAAATAATAATATAACTATAAATAATATTTTTTCATGTTCTTTGTAGTTAAATAAGCTGAACTTCTGGTCAATATAATATCAATCATTTCAGATGATTTTTCTTCCTGTTGTCCTTTTTCTTCACTTCCTTCTTTTTCCTTTTTTGTCCTTGTGTTTTTCTCCTACTTTTCCTACTTATTTTTTTGTTGCTTAATCTTCACATTTTCCTCCTTATTCTCTCTACAGTTCATTTTAATTCTCCTTCTTTTTTCTTCTTCATCTTCTCCTTTTTATTTAACCCCTGACAGAAGAAAGGTAGCAGCCAGATCAACGACGTTTAAAACTCAACAAGGACACGTTTAAAAAACAAAACAAATGATGTGACTTTAAAAGTGCCTGAGTGACTTTCACAGCGTCTGGGTCTCCTTCTGGGAGTTCAGCTTAAAAGTTAAAAGTTCTTTGTTGAAAAACAGCTTTGAGAAGTTCTTGAAAAACCTTGAACGTTTGTCTGTGAGAAGGACTTGAAAATTAAAAGAAAAAGCTCAGAACAAATAAAGCAAAACTAATTTCAATAAACATGACTGAAAAATGACAGAATAATAAATTAGAGGTTGTTCCTTCCCTCAACATTTAAATCCCAGCTCTGGTCCTGCTCTCAGCAGCCACCATGTCTCGTTCCTCTGCGACTCTTTTCTTTCTTTCATTACTGTGATAACAGAGTTGGTTTGTGACTAGAAGAAAGACTGTTCTTCACTAACCTGTGGTTTTTACCACATTGGTTTCATAACTATTTGAAGAAGAAGGTGCTTAAGTTCAGATGTCACATCTTCTTCTACTGGCTTTTAAAAAATACAATATTATAAAAATATAAAAAAATATGATTTTGGATTGATTTATGAGAATGTGTGACAAGTAACACAGAAAAATATGGAAATACATTTTAGCGTGTTCATTTTTATTTATATCATCTAAAAATAGTTTATTATCTTGAAGAAAATTTAAATTATCTTTAAAAATGTTTCGGAGGAAAAACCTGTTAAACCCTATTTTTGTTCATTATTATTATTGTCCACATACAGTATACTGTAATTACAATGTACGCCCGTCAGTTCCTCTCTCTAACGCTAGTGGCGCTGTGGATGCGGTCGCTACCGCGTCAGCCCTTTGGGTCACATGACGCGAGGAAGAACCCGGAAACGAGAGCAAAAACAAACATATTAGCAGCAACGGGCTAGCAAAGCTAACGCTAGGAGAAATAATTCAGACAAGTGTGTTTTTAGCTGTTGGCCTGGGAGGTGGTTTTTTCCACATATGTTACAGAAGTTGTGATGATGTGACCAAACAACACCGAGAAGACATTTTACCGTAACTGCTGTCTATCGTCTGCTAACGCCCTTTAGCTCATGCTAATCATCTACGCGTTGTTGTTTTCCTGTAAATTTCAAGATTCAGATAAGAAGACAACAACGTGGTTGGTTTAATCGATTATTGATATGTCTGAAAATCAAGAGACTCAGGTAGATTAACCTTAAGAACTGGAACTAACTGGATTTCTAGGACACAACGGTCAGGTGATTCTCTCTCTATTTCTAAAACAAACTTCTAGTAAAATTAGCATTGCTAGTCCATTCTTAGTTGTTAGTACAACAACCGTATGTGATCTTTTTTTACCTGACAGTAGATGACAATTTGTAATATTTGATCTATAATTGATTATCTCTCATTTTTAACGACTGTTTTGGTAAACACTGTATTCTTTGGTAACCGGTAGATTGTGTTCGGACAATAGAACATAGTTGGTCAGTAAAGTGATGAAAATGTTTTGAAATGTGTCCCGAAGTTCAACACGATAATGTCAAACCTATGGAATATCAATATATGAACTGTGTTTTCAACATATTTATTCAAACTTATGACACTAAATCACCTAAATGGTCAATAAAATGTTTAGCTGAAACATGGTTCAGATCACATAATCATCCTTTTGCCATTACTCATATTTTGGTGAGATATGTGTGGATGTAAACTTTGTCAAATCTTTTCACAGTCACTTGGAACTAAAGACCTGTCAGGATGGTGCACGGCGGAGTGTGGTGTGTGGTATCACCACTGACCGTACCGACGCTGGTCCTCTTCAGCGTCCTGACACTTTCACCCACACACGCCTACATCTATGCAGTAAGAGACGGCGGAGGTTTAGTCTCACATTCTACTGGTAAATATTCAAACGTATTCATTTGTGTGTTTGTCGTTACGGCAGCATTACAGCAATACGACCTCCATGCTGTTTGAAGACCTACCAGCCTTGTTTGGAAATCCAGTCCCCAAGGACGGCCTCATGGTAAGATGGGAACACTGGTGAAAGTTAGCAAACGTGTGACATCATGTGACAAGTTCATTCTCTGTGTGACAGGGAGTTCTGGTGGTGTCACGTCCACTCAACGGCTGCACACCGATCGACCCGCCTCCTCCACTGCCGCCGTCGTTTGATCCGAACATCACCAAATCCATCGTTCTCATCAGACGCTACGACTGCAACTTTGATATAAAGGTCAGTAATACTGCAGAGACAGTCGGCCTGGGTAGTACTGCAGTTCTGATCCAAGTATTCACATGTTTCAGGTGCTGAATGCCCAGCAGGCAGGATACGACGCTGCCATCATCCACAACATGTACTCTGACACTCTGCTCAACATGAACTACAGCAACGGTAAAATCTCCACCACAGAAAGTCCAAAAGCCTGAAATGAACTGTTGTTGAATTCCTCACCGTCGATCTCTCACAGAAACCATCGCGGACGAGATTGAAATCCCTTCGGTCTTCACCAGCTTCTACGCTTCTCAGGTTTTCAGAAAGTTCATCATCCCAGAACAAGGGTAAGAGAACGGAGGGTTTCAAACTGGTCAAAATCTAGAATCAACCAGTTTTCTCAGTCAGAATCTGATGTGAATTTTCTTTTTCTTTTCCTGTCTCTGCAGGACGTACGTGATCCTGAAGCCGGAGTTTTCTTTCCCTCTCACCTACTACCTTATTCCCTTCACTGGGGTAGTTGGCATGATCATCCTTGTGATGAGTGTCGTCCTGGTAAATATTTTTCAGTATTTTGGACGTTGTCCATGAACTGACCTCCTCTGTCGTCCAGACCAGTTTCTCCTGTGAATCTCTCTGTGATTGTCACGTCTGGTTTTCTGTGTCGTGTAGATCATACGTTGTGTGAGGTACAGAAAAAGGCTCCGGAAAAATCGTTTGTCCAAAGAGCAGCTGAAGCGCATTCCCGTCCACAGGTTCAGTAAAGGTAACACCTGACCGCCGTCAACACCAACACCGTGGACCGGTTACTGTCTCTGCACTGACTGGAGTTGTTGTTGTTGTTGTTGTTCTTCAGGCGACGACTACGATCTGTGTGCCATATGTTTGGATGAGTACGAGGAAGGAGAGAAGCTGCGAGTTCTGCCCTGTTCACACGGTAACATTTCTGATGTTATTAAAGTAGCACAGTAGCACAGAGCACTGCTGTGAAGTGGGGCCGTACACCCACTGTAACTCAAACGTAAAAGGAGCTGAACCCTGAATTAGAACTGTTTGTTGACACCCAGAGTGAGTTCTGTCAGACTGATCACAGACCGTCCATGGTTAAGCTAAGCTAATCCTGCTAACCCTTTTCCACTTTATTTCAGCCTATCACTGCAAGTGTGTCGACCCGTGGCTCACGAAGACCAAGAAGACGTGTCCCGTGTGCAAACAACGCGTCACTCAAAACCAAGCCGACCAGTCGGAGTCCGAGTCTGAGGTGGAGGCTGGGGGACGGGGGGAGGAGGAAGGGTCCGAGGGAGAGCCCGACTCGGAGCGCACCCCTCTGCTGCGGCCCTCCAACCCCGCCTCGCCCTCGGGCAGCCCGGGAGCCTACTCCGCCACCACCACCACCACCACCGCCCAGTGCCTGGTCTCCCCTCCCGTCTGCGACTCCCCTGTCCTGGAGTACGAAGGCTACTACTCCCCCCAGGAGGACATGGACTCAGAGAGCGACGACACGGTAGACTACAGTCATCAGACCGAGGACGACACCGCGCAGCTCCTCGGCAGGAACGCGGCACAGGTGTGAGCGCAGCAACAAACACTAACTGCTCTGTGACCACTTTGGTTTTTTTTCTTCTTTTTATTATTATTTTTTTTAAGTCACAGATTTTTCTTTTAGACACAACAACATACTGTTATCACCGCGACATTTATGATGATTTTAAAATAGTTTGTAAGTTTGTGATTCACTAGACTTCAGGCACCTTAATAACAGGACTAACAGCCGTCAGTGACTGACGTGGTGTCGGTGTGAAACAACAGCCGCTCCTGGACAAACAGTCGCTTCACTTGATTTTAAACTTCAATGTCGTAATGAAGAAGTTGATCAATTTATTGACCCGCGGACGCCGAGCAGCAAACTCAAAGTCCAATCGTGAGGTCAAAGGTCAACAAAATTTACAAAAAGTAAATAGTTTTAGACTTGAATCTTTTCAGATTTTTTTTATTACAATAGTTACTTTGTTTAGTTGTTTTGAATGACTAACGGTTCAGTTTTTATTCTTTTAATTTCAATTTCACAGCTTTTTCATTCTTTTAATACTCTCTAATTTTCTCTCTAATTCCATATTAACCTGTGACACCTGTGACTCACGTTTCCGCTGCTTCCACGTTCAGATTCTCACTCTGTTGTTACTGTTGTTGCTCCGGCTCCGTCGGTCAGAGAGGATGCGTTTGGATTTGTCTGAGCTGAGAGGTTGAAACTGAGGTTTCAGGTTTAAAGGGGCATTGGAGTTTTTTTTTTCTTCACTTATTTTGAATTCATAACGTTGCTGTCACTGAACAAATCCAGATTTTTCTGCACAGCAAGAGAAGGAAACAAGTTGTAGGACCATGTGTCGGAAGAGAAAACTGTGGAGTGTTGTAAGGTTTCTGTAAATGTAAATGTTTAGGAGTCGAAGGGAAAAACGAAACGCTCCAAAAAAGTTTTTTTTTTTTCTGCTCTAAAGAGAAAACCAAAAGTTCGTTTTTTTTTCCTTTACATTAAATACAATGTGTGTTTAAGACAAACCATGAGATCCAGGACTGGAAGTCAGCCAATCACATTCTTGTATTTAGTTGTTCTGATCATCTTCTCAAACTCTCACAAGTTTTTTTGTTCTCACTGAGAAAAAAAAAGATGAATATAAAAATCTGTTATTGATAACTGAGGTATTTTAAAAAAAGGTTTCCTACAAAAACATGTTTTTTTGTTCAGGTTTTCTGGAGTCGTTTGTCTTTTTCACTGCCGTCTGATGTTGGAATTCTGAAGATAAGATTAAAAAAAAACTGTAATCATTATTTTCCAGCAATAACTGATATAATAATATAGAACTGCTGTTTGTTTTTGTTGTTTTTCCTTCTGACTTTTCGTTCACTGAAACAAATGGAAACCAATGTAACAGCTGAGTTTCCCACGTGTCATTATAGTAATAGATGTACAGTGTCAAACCTAATGCTGATGAATTAACACCGGTGTGAAGAGGAAGTGGGACTGTGGTGCCATTAGTAGGAGAATCAATAACACTGTCTTTAAGTAGCTTCTCATACACAAAACTATTTATAATAAACTGAAGAAAAGTCTTTGGTCTCCGTCGGATCCTGTCCTCAGCTCAAGACACGGTTCACGATGTTTTTTACACAATATGATTTTATCAAAGGGAGACGGGGGGGAGGGGGGTGACTGAAAGATTTGGGAGTGAAGAGGAGGAGGAGGAGGAGGAGGAGGAGGAGGCCATCCAGGAGCCAGTGATGCTGCTGTGGTGACGACTCCTGATTCAAACCTTTAAAACAAAGATTTTGTGGTAAAACCAATTTTGTCATTCTCAGATGAAATCATCTCATCAGATTATCATCCCTGCAGCAGCAGCAGATCTTTAAGGCTCTTTAAGGACTTGGATCTTCTTAGATCTTTGACGACGTTAAAATCTCAGCACAGTTTTTTCTTTGTTCTGTCTTGATATGTCAATGACACACCAGTGAATCTTGATCTTCATCTAAATTTCACCTTTTTCAAATTTCTCCCAACAGCAAAACCACAGGGCCGATGCCACAGCGCCGCCTAGTGGCCGTTGTAACAGATATAATAGAGATGGGGTTTTTGTTGTTGTTTTTTTTTAGATCTAATACAGCCACACAGGACTGATGGTGTGTGTAAATGTTCCTGTAGAGCTGGGGTATTTAAACCCTGGCTGTGGGTAATTAATTAACCTGTACCTTTGAATACATGCTCTGACATTTTCTGTAGATTTCAGTCATTAGTGGAATAATGTTTAAATACATAATGGCCTTTATTTAACAGTAGTTTCCTGCCTTTTCATGTGATTCACTGCAGAGTCATTCCATTTTCTCTGAATCCGTCCTAACGAGCTCGGCTCCTTTCACGTACGTGTGCTTTTAATAATTCCACCTGCTGCTCTGAAGAAACAGTCCAATTCAAATGACTATTTTTTTTTCTTTTTGAGCCCCACAGGTCAGGTGACCCTGTAACCGCCTGGACCACGGTCGCGGTCATTAGAACAGCTACGGCGCGGTGATATATAATCAGTGGGAAACGTTAAAAAGTCAAATCTCAAACGTCAAGCCTGTCGCTGGCTCACGGAATCTTATGAAGTGTCGGTGCAGCTGTGAAGAAAGATGCCTGGCTCACCAACACGGTTCTCCTCCTCTGTGCTGAGGACATCGCTGCTACTTCTGATGACTCTGTCTTCATGTTACCTCATCGACGGTCAAGAGAAGTCTCCTGGAGAGGTGAGGTCTTCATTACTGCTCTGTGTGGTTGATATTGATGACGGCAGATATCAGTTAGTGTTATGTTAATTAAAGCTTGATGAAAACAGTGCCTCTTCATAATGTATTTTTATTGGAAAAACTCAATTTAAATTGAAATGTATTTTATTATTATTATTATTACTATATAGTTTTTCATCCTGGGACATCTATCTATCTATTGATTGATTGATAGATTAATTGATAGATAGATAGATAGATAGATGTCCCAGGCTGGAAAACTATCTATCTTTTTTTGTTACTTCTATGTTTGTATAAAAATTTGATTTTATGATAACAAATTACACGTCACGTTGCTGAACTCTCTCGTTTCTCTCAGGGAGTTTTGGACGCTGCTTCCCGTCTGATCCTGGCTCCTCTGGAAGCCGATTTTGAACGCGGAGGAGATTATTCCCTGCAACAGCACGTGGAATCTGCGTTCATCGTGGCAGACGGGGCTACGGAACTGTGGCCTCGTACAATCCTGGATTATATGAGGCGTCAGCTCAAATTCAAGGGAAGGACAAAGAAAAGTATGAAGATGAGGTTTTCCTGAGCAGTCTGAGCCGCCGTGAAATGGAGAATGAATAATCTATTAAAATATAACTGAAACACTGAGGAATCTTTCATTCCTTTTTCACCAGATTTAATTTTCTATATAAAATATGACAATTATATTATGTAAACTTCTTCTCCTGTGGTAGTTAACAAAAAATGTTTTTTAAACTTTATTATCATTAAATTATTATTATTTTTAACATCCTATTGACATGAATAAAAAGAAGGGATTTTGTTTCAGGATAGAACTCAAACAAAATTGGGGTTTGTTTTGTTTATTTGTTTGTTTGTTTCTTCTTCTTCTTCTTTCCGGTTTTGTTTATTTGTTTGTTTGTTTCTTTTCTTTCCAGACTTGTATTTTGTAACCTTACGTTTAACTTGTGTCTCCTTCCTTCCCGTCTTGGCCAGTTATAATGTATTTGCAGTTAATGGGAATTATTGCTGGTTAATAACCTCGAACAATTCAATTTTAATTTATGTTTTGTGGTCTGAACTCCTTTGGCTGCAAAAGAAGCAGAGTCCACAAGATGGTGCCATAGAACACCACGCTCAAAACAATATATCTGTATCTGTATGTCTAAATTTCTCACACTAATGCAGACAGAACAACAAAAATAAACAATTTAAGAGAGGAAAAAACAGTACCAATAATATTAAGTGCTGTCACGGATGAAAATGAATTAGGAAAAGCAGACAGGGTTTAGCGCCACAGCGTATGGTGTCGCTGTTTCGATGTTGCGAGCTTTGAGAAGGTGACGTCGAAGGCAGAGAAGTAGAAGAAGCACAAACGCGCGACAAAGCAGAAACGTAAGTAATAATTTTTCCTGCGATATTTAATGCTTAAAATTGACAAAACCGTTTAAACCAGATTAACATTAACACCTTATTAAACAATGTCGTGTTTACAAACAACTGTTTTATTATTTATTCAGACAAACTGCAGCTTTAGTGTTGGTTTAGATGAGGGCTAACGTGGCTAACACGTAAGCTAACAGTGTTTGATGCTAGCCGAGCGAGGTTACTGTAAATGACAAGATAATTAGTAATAGTTTAAATAGATAATTAGTTTTATGTGTAACTAATAACGTGATATTTTACAGCGTCTGAGCCTTTTATGAGACAACTCTGACCCTCGTCCTTCGTGACTCCTTTTTTGCTTTCGCCTTTTTATTAGGTTTGTTTATTAAAGTCAAGTCGTCTGTCGTCGTTCTGTTCAGCTTCACGGTCTCAAAGAAATAATTTTTCTATCATACATTGTGTCACTTTTACCTAAATGTGATCGTTTTCAGATGGGAGACAGCGACGACGAGTATGACCGCAGGAGACGAGACAAATTCAGACGGGAGCGAAGTGACTACGACCGATCCAGAGAGAGAGAAGAGAGACGGAGAGATGACTGGAACGACAGGTGACTGTGATAGATATCGATAACTTCATCAACTTAAACAAAATGAAGTTAAAAGTAACCACAGAATGCAGCTGCACACTGCCCTCCTCCCGCCTGTGGTGGAGCTGTGGCCAACCATCAGACATCACGTGTCTGAATAATTGGCAAAGTAATTGCTGAAAAGATATTTTAAAAAAATACTTTTCTCGAGAAGAAACGCCTGTGTGAATACTGTGTGTATTTGTACTTTGAAGTACTGCTGTACTGATGTTGTACTGTATTGTTATCATCATAAAATGTACATTCTGCAGAAGTATTATAGTTATAATCAACAGTATCACCGAGGCAGACCCACGGTGTTGATGTCATTTGCTCGGTGGAATCCATAGATTTAATTTATTTTTTAGGGCTGTGTCTGATGGGAGAGTAGATTTGAAACATGAATTCTGTGCTTAAAAAAAATTCTCAAATTAATTTCTCCAGGGAGTGGGACAGAGGCAGAGAACGCCGTAGTCGTGGAGAATACCGGGACTACGACCGGGGCCGTAGGGAGAGATTTACTCCCCCCAGACATGACATCAGTCCTCAGCAGAAACGCATGAGGAGAGACTGGTAAGAACCACAGCTGTGTCACTGTTTGCCCTGATAATATGATACAAAGCAAAATGTACTTTGTATTTTTCCATATGTTTGTAGAAATGTGACGTTTTTTATTTTACTCGTTGGTTTTAAATACCCCTGCTGCACACTTTACATACATGTACTTCAAAATGTTTTTGCTGAATTATTTTCTCTCTATATTTTTGATAATAAATCACTGTGATGAACTTAAATGTAATAAAACATTATTTATTAATGTTTTATTTTTTTTCTTCTAATTCTCTGCCCTGGCAGGGATGATCACGGTGGAGATCCTTACCGTGGTGGATATGATATGGGTTATGGTGGTGGTGTTGGCGGCGGCGGAGGTGGGCCAAGTTATGGCCCCCCTCAGCATTGGGGTCATCCTGACATACCCATAATGCAACCCCATCATGGAATCCCTATTCAGGCCAGGTAGGGTTTTTTTTATAATTAAGATGATGTCGGAGGATTGTAGGTTCGAATCCCACTCGTCCTCAGTCCTAAAGCAGTAAAAGTACTCACCGCTTCCCAGGGATGAGTTGAAGAAAAAATGTTTGCTCCATGTGTCTGAATGTGTGTAATAACAAAAAGCTGGTTCTTCTTCTGTCCATGTTGCTTTGCACTTGCACAGATATTCTGAGCACTTACACAAACACAATGTTTTGTCTTTAACTTCTGCTGTGTTTACGTACCTTGAATCATGTGTTACTTTAACTTCTGCTGTGTTTACGTACCTCATGTGTTGCCAAATTAATTTTCATATAAAGTGAAAGTGAAATGTCCCAGTTTAACCAACATAAGGTTCCGACTGAAAACCTTCACCTCGCACTGCTCTCTGTCAGGCTGGGAAACATTCATGACGTGGATTTGGTTCAGCCGCCTCCTGTGATGAAGACCTTCAAGGAGTTCCTGATTTCCCTGGACGATTCGGTGGATGAGACGGAGGCCGTCAAACGCTACAACGATTACAAGATTGACTTCCGTCGACAGCAGATGCAGGACTTCTTCTTGGCCCATAAAAATGAAGAGTGGTAAGATACCGTATTACGTGCTCTCACCGTAAAAATCCAATTCATCCAGAGGAGCGGGGTTTAATGTAATTACAGTGTTTGTCGTCAGCCAATCACAGGCCGCTGAAATAATTTGAAATTTTTAAAACAATTTACAGCCGACCTTAGGGTGTCACGTCACTACACATCTAAAAGTTGATTTTGTTTTAATGGTCAGTTTAATCAAGAACATTGGAGCAATTTAAACTTCTGTCGACAAACGATGTTTTAATTAATTACATCTTACGTTTCAAACTCTTTCCAAAATCTTTTTCCTTTTTTTTACAAAAGTAAATTGAACCTGAATTCTGCTGCATTTGTTTTTTTCAGTTAGGGACGAATTGTTGTAGAACAAATGTTCTCATTTATTTTCAATATTTTTAACAAAATAATCTCAGCTTCAAATTCATCTTCATGGTTTGGCTTGATTTTTCTAATTTTCTATAATTTTTTTTTTCCATTTACTGTTGTATAACGCTTGTTAATGTTTATTATACTTATTTCACAGGTGTCATGCAAAATTGTTCTGTTTTGACATAACTTTCCTTCCCTTCATTGCCTCTGCCACGTTGACGACGTTTCTTTTGAAGATGACAAAAAGTGGAAACGCCAAGAATCGCTGTTAGACAGCCAGGGTTTGCACTGCGCACAATGCAGCTGCTCTTAGACACAAAGTCACAGGAGATTTAGTCAGACAGTCACGAACCGCTCACGCGTGGAGAGATTTTTTTTTCTCCCTGTTTTATGCTCCTTTTTTTTCCTCCAATTTTATTTTTTTTTTATTTGGATCATACGAATCCCAAAACCAAGTTTGTGTGTGTGCAGTCACACCGTTGAGGTGAAGTGGATCGCATTTTCACAGAAGAAAGCCTTCTCTGTATTTATTTGTTATTAAACTGGCAGAAGAAAAGGTAACTGTAGTCCACTCCATTATAAACATGTCTTTATCACAGTGTCATAATGTGACTGTTTAGCTCTGCAGCCTGTTGTGTTGTTCTTTTCTCTGTGGTGAGTCAAATATCTGTGTTAAACTCACCTTGTTAGTCAACAAAACCAAAGCATACGTTTAAAAATTTACAAGTCTGAACTCTTGAATTTGCTAATTTGAACATTTTCACCCAAAGTTGTGATTAAAAACAACTGTAAAAATGACTAAATAGAAACATGTTGTCGTTTTGGTTTGTGTTTCTTTTTTTCTTTTTTTTGTGTCACAGCTACGTCTAACTTCTGTCTCCTCTTCATTCCCATCCCTGCCGTTCCTCTCCACATTTTCTGCAAACCCCGGCCCTGGACACAGGTTCAGGTCTAAGTACCACCCAGATCTGACCAGCAGACTTCAAGCAGAGGCCCAGACTTCTCTGTTCAACCGTCTGAAGGTTTTCCTGTTCCTGACTGAGAACGGCTGGTTTGACAACATCCTCATGGATATAGAGCAGGCTCCAGCCATCATCAAAATTCTGGATGCAGGTGGGATTTTATCTCTGCCTGATACAATTGTAGCCACATGAGTGACGGAAAACAGGAGCAGAGAGCGTACTGTCTGTGTCACGTGTGCCTCAGTTTGAGAACCATTTCTGTGGGTCTCTCGAAAAATTATGAAACAAATTTTTCGTGCTATTCTCTGCCTCCAGCTGTGATAAAGATGGAAGGAGGGACAGACCACGACCTTCGTATCCTGGACATGCCGTCAGAAGAAGAAGAAGACAGGGAGAAGTTGATGTCTGTTACAGGTGGCGCCGAAGCTCAGAAAAGAGACGATGTTAAGACTTTGGACGGAGAAAGAAAATCCTCCATGGAGAAGGACAAGAATCACAAGGTTTGTTTTAGAATTGTAGCCAAACAGTTTTAGGATTTGATGTTGCTGTGGTAGTGACTGAGGAGTTCCTGCAGGAGGCGCTGGATTCAGCCAACAGAGAGAGAAGTGCAGGAGCAGAGGAGGAGGACGTGAAAGAGAAGACGGAAAAGGAAGCAGCCAAAGACGAGAAGCCTGAACCCAAGAAGGTTGGAAGGTTTTTTTTCTTTTTTTTATGTGATGTCACGTTAATAAATTAACAAGTGAAGAAAATGAGAGTGATATGAATTTTTTAGCAGCAGAGGAGAAAGAGGAAACGCAGCGGAGACAGCGATGATGATGCCAGCGCCTCGGAGAGCGAGTCTGAATCCGACTTCAACTCTGACTCAAACTCTGTCTGCTCCGACAAACCTGTGAAGAAGGCAAAGGAGGAAGACGAGGAGGAGGAAGAGGAGGAGGAAGGTGAAGGTGAGTCGATGAATCACAGACAGAGAGCTGCAGAAATGGAAGCGGTTGTTAACGTGTGCTGTTTTCATATCGATAAAAACATCTGTAGTCCGTCCGATAACTGAGCCCGAAGCACGTCGATATTTAAGTTTCATTAATTAATGTTGCTCATCAATAATTCCTATTAATCTGAACCGTTCCCTCCCCCCCTGAATAATGAAGAGGAGAAACCAAAGGAGAACTGTGAGGAGGTGAAGAAAGAGGAGAAGAAGGTGAAGGACGACTCCCCCAGACCTCGGCCTCTGCATCGGACCTGCTCTCTGTTCATGAGGAGCATCGCTCCCACCATTTCCAAGGCTGAGATTATGGCTGTGAGTTCTCATCTATAAAAATCTATAATCTGTAAATCTAGAAAATCCAGATTATTAACAATCTGTGTTATTTTTTTATTTTTTTTCAACAGCTTTGTCAACGATACCCAGGATTCCTGCGAGTTTGTTTTTCTGATCCTCATCCAGAACGCAGGTTGGTGTGAAACAGTAATTCTTTGCTGGAGTTTGTCACGTGATCGTCTGAAACGCACATCACAGAGTCTTTTGTTTTTTTGCAGGTTTTTCAGACGCTGCTGGGTCACATTTGACCGCAGTGTGAATATAAAGGAAATCTGCTGGAACCTTCAGAACATGAGAGTGAGTGACGATGTTCCACTTCCTGTTGTCATCTCTGTTCTACATGAACCTGAAGGGTTTTAAGGAAAAGATCATTTCAGTAAAACTTAAAGAATTCATTGTGATTCAAATAGAAATCCAGGAACCTCATGATGTTCTGTAGTTAACTCACAGGTCGTCCCACATTTTTTGCTACTTTTATAAACATGAGACCAACACGACCCTGACAGATGTTGATCCACATTTTTTGCTACTTTTATAAACATACCTCTTTGGTGACAAACACGACCCTGACAGGCGTTGATTGACAGGCGTTGATTGTTCTTTCATTCTTTGGTTTCTCCGTCAGCTCCGTGACTGTGAACTGGCTCCAGTCGTCAACCGCGACCTGGTTCGCCGGGTACGAAACGTCAACGGCATCACTCAACACAAGCAGGTCCTTCGCAACGACATCAAGTTGGCGGCCAAACTCATCCACGGTTTAGACGAGAAAGGACGTCTGTGGAGCAGCAAGCTGCGGGAGGATCTGCAGAGCTCCGAGGTACGGAACGCTACGGTGCGGGTTCAGGTTCTCTGAGTGTTCTCGGCCGATTGATAATTTATGGGCGTGGTCTACGCTTCCACAGCTTCCGGCTCACAACCCCGTCCTGAAGAACATCACAGACTACCTGATCGAGGAGGTGAGCGCTGAGGAGGAGGAGCTGCTGGGATCGGGGAGTGGCATGGAACCTGAGGAGAACGCCAAGGAAGGGAACCATGTAGAGATGACCGTGGAGAAAGATGAGAAATTAGCCAAGGTCCGTCTTTAATTTAGACTTTTACACAATTTCCACTTTTGTGTCAATTAAATTTTTTTTTTTTAACTTTTATCCCCGTCCTCCAGGTCCTGGACCGGCTGATCCTGTATCTGCGTATCGTTCACTCCATCGACTACTACAACACCTGTGAATACCCCAGTGAGGATGAAATGCCCAACCGCTGCGGCATGATCCACGTACGCGGCCCCGTCCCCCCGAACCGCATCACACACGGAGAAGGTGAGTCGGGTCTTCAGACCATGTGAATGAAGTATCAGAAAAATGAAGTATCAGAAAAAAGAAAAAAATATGACTCAGCAAAGCTAAATAATTTGAATTTCAATTAGTTGATTAGATAGTTGATCAAAAGTGTGGAAAAAAATGTGTTAGTAATTAGTTAGCAAAGCTAAATAATTTGAATTTCAATAGTTGTTCAAAAGTGTGGAAAAAAATTTGTTAGTAATTAGTCGTTTTATTAATTTCTTTTATTCAATGAGCAGTTTAAAGGATTTACAAACTGCTATCCTCAAATTGCCAAGGGGGGGGCGCTGCAGGACAAAAATTACAACTAGATTAGCAGGTTAAGAACCGTGTTTGTTTCTTTTATGTATTAAAATGATTTCTTTTCTTTTTTTTTTGCAACAGTGCAACAGTGGCAGAAGATGATGGAGGATAAGCTGTCGTCGTTGGTTAGTTTAAAAGAAACTCTTTCTGAAGACGAAGCAGTGAAGATGGGCCGAAAAGACCCAGAGGAGGAGGTGGAGAAGTTTGTCACGGCCAACACTCAGGAGCTGGGCAAGGACAAATGGCTGTGTCCACTCAGTGGAAAGAAATTTAAGGTGAGGATTCTCTGGTCATGGCGAACAGGAGCGTTTTCTCTTCCTGTTGGGTTTCGGTTTTTAAAATTCAAATTTTTAAATTTTTTCCAGGGCCCAGAGTTTGTACGGAAGCACATCTTAAATAAACACGGAGACAAAATTGAAGAAGTGAAGAAGGAAGTTTCCTTCTTCAACAACTTCCTGATGGACGCCAAGCGACCATCTCTGCCTGAGATCAAACTTCCTCTCCCAAGTCCTGGTCCAGGTCTGGACCGTTTTTGTCTCATCACCTCAGACACTTCAAAGATTTAAAAATGATTTAAAAAAACAAAACAAAAAACATTTACTGTAATATAATGATAAAAAAAAAACAAAAAAAAAACATTTACTGTAATATAATGTACCAATGGTTACAAGGATTTTTATTTTACAAGGAAGTGAAATGACGTGCCTCCACTGGAGGGCGCCAGAGAACAAAACATAATTTTCTTTTCAACATTGTTTTTCTCCTTTATCTGACAGCGTTGCTATCTCCCAGCATGCCTTTCGCTCCTCAGGCTCTTCAGGGTCCGGTGAACTTTGCGCAGCCTCGTCCTCCACTG